CGGGCTCTCCGAGAGGGGCGGAGGAATCGAACTCAGGTCGGCCATGTTGGCTGCATGCAGGGCAAACGCCCTACCGCTGTGCTATCGATCCAGCCCAAGAGAGAGAGAAAATATTCACACATAATAAATTGGACAAAGGTCTAATTTCTAAGATCTATATTGCCTTGGCATAACTCAACAAAAAAACAACCCCATGAAAGTATTAGGAGAGGATATGGACTAACATTCTCTTAAAGAAGACATATCAATGGTCAATAGGCATATGAAAAGTTTTCATCACTGATTACCAGGTAAAAAATCAAAATGACAATGAGATTATCTCACACCCATGAGAATAGTTTACATCAAAATGAATAGAAACAATCCATTTTGATAGAATGTAGTTAAAAAAGCATCCTCTTTCACTGTTGATGGTACTGCTGTTCAGTTCAACCATACAGAAATGTTAAAACTTTTAAAAAATTATAAAAAGAACTTTCATATGACCCTGTGATTGTCCTCTTGGGCTGGAGTGATAGCACAGCGGTAGGGCGTTTGCCTTGCACGCAGCCAACATGGCCGACCTGAGTTCAATTCCTCCGCCCCTCTCGGAGAGCCCGGCAAGCTACCAAGAGTATCTCGCCCACGGGGCAGAGCCTGGCAAGCCACCCGTGATGTATTCGATATGCCACACAGTAACAACAAAGTCTCCAATGGAGACGTTACTGGGCCCGCTCAAGCAAATCGATGAACAACGGGAGGGCCTTTACCTTTACCATTTATTCCTAAGGACACTAAAACATTAATCCACAATGATATATGTATACCTTTGCTCATCATAGCTCTAGTCACAATAGCCAAGATCTGGAAACAGGCTAGATACCCAACAACAGATGAGTGAATAATGAAATTGCAATACATGTACACATGGAATACTACTCAACTGTGAGAAAAGGTGAAATTCTTAAGCTTGTTGCAACCTGGATGGAATCGGAGGATATTGTGCTAAATGAAGTGAGTCAGTAGGGAAAAGACAAATAACAGATGAATGTGCTTACATGTGAATATAAAGAAACAAAACAAGAAACTAGACAATTCTTAATGGAAATAAACCCTGAGATTTGTCCAAAGAACAGTGAACTAAGGATGCAAAGAGGAAGGGTTCTGAGGGGACTTGAGGCATTAGTGTAAGGTTATTGACAATGGGGGAGTGGAGAAGTTACATGACAAATTAAAAACAATATGAAGCTACTGTAAGCCACATTATCTTAACACAAAAATTAATAACTTTGGGGCAGAGCAATAGTATAGTGTGTAGGGTGCTTACCTTACGGGCAACAGAACCTGGTCAATCCTTGGCATTCCGTATGATCTGCTGAGTACCACCAGGCATAATTCCTGAGTACAGAACTAGGAGTAACCTCTGAACATCTCTGGGTATGACCCCAAAACCAAAATCATAATAAATAAATAAGCCAAAACAAAACTCCATAACTCTCCTTTACTTTGAAGGGTTAAACTGACTAAACAAGTACTTGATTTGTAATTTTGGGGTCTCAAAATTCTTCTTATAGAATTCTTATAGAATTCTTCTTCTTGTATGACTGACTCATGGACCATTGTCACATTTGAAAAAAATTATTTTATTTTTATAAATTAGTTCACAACATTTGATTACATTTAATAGTTGAACACCAAGCCCACCACCATTATACCTTCCCACAACCATATTTTTAATGTTTCCATCCCAAACCCCAATCCCTTTCCCTTCAACAGAACTGAAATAATTTACTTTATACTTGAATAAACCACTGAAAGTGATCCAAAAAATTTTCCTTAGAGGAAAGTGTGTGAAGATTGTTGTATTTCACCCAGGGGTCATTAAGCCCTTCTATAAGAGATTACTAACATGTTAAAGGTTGATCTTGAGCCTTGTTTACTATATATATTTCCCTATAAGATTGGTTGCCTTCCACATTAAACCCCATCAAATGTGATGTGCTACTCTTGTAATATTCGTGGTATGAGGTATGAGATGTCAAGAGATCCAGGAATAGGTTCACTCATGGGTGAGGCTCAGCAGAGCATGTGGAGAGCGGCCATGGGCATGGTTGTGGTTGAGTTCTGGAGGTTTTCTGACTGCTGGGGCTGGCTCCTTGGGGTGGGGAAGGGCCTCACCCAACCCCTTCTTGGTTGTCCTGAATGCCATATTATTTAAGAGAGTGGTTTTTGTTTTTGGGATTACTGGGTGCTTCACTTATTGGACTGAAGTTGGTGTGAGAAATTTTGATGACTAAATGAGTCTCTCTAATAATGGAGTAGCAGAATCACATAAGTTTTGTATATTAAAGCTGGTCAACACTGATAGAATACCTATACTAGGATGAATATATTCATCATGTAAAATCATGGGTGAAATGTTAAACTGGGGTGAGTTTCTGGTTTTAGATTAACCTTTGAGTGGTATGACTTCCTTGGGTAAACCACATTATCTCAACAAAAATGATAAATAAATTTGGAGCAAAGCAATTTGGGTGTAGGTCTCTCTGTCTCCTCATTTCCCATATGTAAAAATTGAAGTCTGTAATGGAGAATTCTTGGAATATCTTGTGGTTCTAATAGTCTAAATTCTATGTTTGAAGACCAAAAACCTTAGCACTTTAATGCAGGCAATAAGGTAATTAATCAAGTTATACCAATTTCAAGAAATTTGAATTGATCTTTTACTAGGTGCCATGCTCTTTTTTAGGGCATAGAAACAAAAAAATTAAAGCCCAGTCTCTCTCTGGCAATAATTGATAAGGAGAGGTTATTGTTATAGCTGAGAGGTTATAGCTGGATTTCAACAAAAACACATTTTTCTTTTTTTGCTTTTTGGGTCACACTCGGCGATGCAACGGGGTTACTCCTGGCTCTGCACTCAGGAATCACCCCTGGCGGTGCTCAGGGCACCATATGGGATGCTGGGAATCGAACCTGGGTTGGCCACGTGCAAGGCAAACACCCTACCCGCTGTGCTATTGCTCCAGCCCCAAAACACACTTTTTTTCAATTCTCATAATTTTAATGGTCAATAGCTTCTGGTTGGCTCTGAATGGTAGAGTTAAACAATATACTTAAAAGTCCCCCTCCCAAGCACATTCACATCCCTTCCGTAGCGCTGCTTCCATGAAAGCCCCGCTGCCAGGTCAGACTTCCACAGCCTCAGATTCTGTGGGTCAGAAACCCATCTTAGTGTAATGAGTCGGAAAAACCCTTAGTACACTTGTGATCTATGTTACTTTTTTTGTTTTGTTTTGTTTTAAAGAACAAGTATTAATCCAAACAGCTTCCCAGGCTCCCATGGCCCTCGGAGCTAAACTGTTTACTGTGGCAATCTGAATACTTGGCATCTCTTGTGGGCTGGGTTGTTTGCTTCTCTCCCAGTCTGTCGGCCCTACTGAAATCATACGGAGTAGTTTGTAGATATTCTTTACACAGTACACCAGGGGGGCCAGTGCTATCGTGTTGTGCAGTCTCTTTCTGTCAAGTCGTCCTTCCAAACCAGCACCACTAGGGTGGAGGAAGTGAGTGTGTGTAGTGGCAGGCGGGGCAGTTTATAGGCATCATACTCCACCTGGTACTTGGAGCAAGGGTCTAACTGCCACGAGATGCTGTAGAGGGTGCAGCAGACTAGGCTCAGCACAGCAGTAGGCAGGGAGATGTAGTGGGAATAATCTAAAGGCAGTGCCAACGGGGTGAAGAGGCAGGCCGTGCCCGCCAGCACGGTGGTCTTGTGCAGTCAGTTGCCCACAGTGATCCAGCAGACGGTCTTTTCACCGTTGCGGGTGGGCTCGATGACGATGTGCTTGTACTGGACTTCCAGGACCTGCTCCAGCTCATACTCAAACTGGTCCTGGGCATTTTCCCCATTGTAGATCTCCTGCACAATGTAATGAACAGTCTGTGGCCAACAAGCTCACCCTCTCTCAGGAGCTGCTGCTGCCGCTTCCCAGACCAAGACCAAAAACACATTTCTTTGGTTAGATGTTGGGAGAAAGTAAACGTAGATTCCGTCTTCAGCCACTGTAATAAATTTCTCCCCACAATGTATGTTAGCTTCTAGTTTGTGAAAAGTATGATTTGGTTGTTTCTGGTCAGTAAGTGACTTTCTGAGTGATTATTCAGAAACCCAGATTCTTTCTATCTTGTGTCTCCACTGTCCTTCTCCTGGGACATCAATATCCCCCACTGGATAGCCTAATTTTAGCAGGCAGAGGAAGTCTGGAGCATCACATAGAGTTTGAATGGGCCATACTGGAAGTGGCATACATCTTGTCTGTGTAGGCTTTGCGTTGGTAGAATAGAGACACGGGCCGATCTATCTGTAAACGAGGTTGGCAGTGTGATCTAGCTGGGTTCCCATAAGAGAAAGAAAATACATTTTAGAGAATGCACGGAAGTCTGTACTTTAAAGGTTATCTATCCTGCTGGACTTTGTGCTGTGAGTAGCTAGTTTTCTCTTGGGCCAAACTCAGCCAAGTGCAACATGAGATAACTGTCAGGTTGAATTTCTGACTAGACTATTCTTATCAAATTGTGGTTACTGGGGGGATGCTCACCACCGTTTCGTTTTGGTTTAAGGATTTCCAAAGGAAATTGCAGTTTGCACATGTATAGCAGGTTCTGAAATAGAAGAGGGAGTGAAGGCCAGAGAGAGATAGTATAGCAGGTAGGGTTCATGCCTTATATGCTACCTATCCTAGTTCAATCCCTTGTTGTGCTGTATGGTGCCCTGAGCACCACATCCAGGAATAAGTGTTTAGTGCAGAGCCAGGGGTAAGCCTTGAGCATACCCAGGTATGGCCCCTCTACCCCTCCACCCTACAGCCCCTCAAAATAAAAGAAGATGTAATGATACATAGGGGAACCCTCTAACCCACAGTCTGAGATGTAGATGGTGAGAAGTCCCATCTGTCCATTTGACAAATAGAAGACAGTTAATTTCTCTACTTATAATTTACTTTCTCATCTCTCCACAGTGACCCTGTCAGCTGCCACTCCATCTTACTTCAGGGGATTCACATTAATTGCCCTCAAGGAGAACAGAGAGGGTGATAAAGAAGAAGACCATGCTGGGACCTTCCAGGTAAGGCCTATGTGGGCTTGTCCCGGGGCCCTCCCTGCTAGGTAGGTAGAAGCCAGTTGAAAGTCAGAATCTGAATAAAGTAAGAGGTATAGATGTCTGATGTGACTCCTCCTGCAGTTTCTGTGACCATAGATAAAGAGGGCCAGGTCCATTTGAGAGACCCATAATGGAATTGGCCACATACACCCCAAATTTATCACAAGACTTTCAGAGTTGGCCACCAAGCGAGGATCCCATTAGCAAGCAGGTCACAGTGCTTGCATTCTCTTGGCTCACAGTGCTCTGGGCAGATGAGCATCCTTGCAGAGGACGCGGCTCAGAAATTTCTCCTGCATAGCCATTTTGTGATTGTCTATTCTCAAGTGTAAAGGGAACAAGAGGCTAAAATGGCCTGACAGGAGGGAGTTCAAAGCACAGGAGAAGAACTGTTAAAGGAACGAAGAGATTGATTTATGAGAGAAGATTAAAAGAATTAAACATGCTTTGCTTGGCTAAATGAACAGGGCTGAGTTTAAGAGGTAGGAATGGTCTTTAAATGTCAGTCCTCGTAGAGAAAGCTCTACCAGGCGAGGCTGCATTTGACTTTGTACAAAAGGGCACAGCAAGAAGAAAGTGGGTCAGGAGAAGAAAGTGAATCTCAGAGCAAGGCCCCTGACAGTGAGTCATATTTCATCGTGGAATATTCTTCCAGGGAAGTGGTGGGAACATCATCCCCCCTCCGAGGTTTAGAAGGAGACAGGGCAAGTTGTCAGAACATGTCCCAGGAGAACTGGGGAGATCCTGGAAGGAGGCCTGGTCAGATTTGCTATAAGCATTTCTCATTTCCAAATTCCATTGTTCTGTAATAGTTTTTTTCTTTTTTAATCTACATTTGCAACTCAGAAGAAAAAAGGGACTCAGAGAGAATACTACAATTCATAGCTGGTTGCTGGGCTCAGCCATAATTTGTGGATTCTACAGATGACCCTTCCCCAAATATTCTCCCCATCCAAAGGAAACTTGTAATGCCTATGACCAGGTTGTAATTTTTAATCTTATGATTTAAAAATGTGTCTATTGTTTAGGATGCTGATTTTTGCTACTATTTCTAAAGAACATTTTAATTTCCTTTGGGGTACTTAGATGTCAGAATCTTTTTGGTATGAATCTGAAGGAGTTACCTAAGAACAGTATTTCTGTTATAGATACAAATGGGTACTTATCATTTTGCAGGCACTAGGCTAAATGCTTTACCTTTTCTTAGTTTATTTTAGCAATTTAATTACTTTACCTCATCTTTGTTTAATTGCCCAAATAATCAAATAGATAGGAACTATCTTAATTTTTATAAACCAGGAAATTGAAACTAGAAAATTAAATAATGTGGTTAAACAACCAGTTAGTATTAAGGATAGATTCTTTAATAAGGTGATTCCAGAGTATTAATCAGTTTGGATGGTACTGAGCATGTATTTTATAGGTATGTTTAGATAGTATATGGTATGGCTGTCATTATAGGGAAAGGGAGACTCATACATGCAATCAGCCTTTAATACATATTATATATACAGAATAATATATGTTTATGTGTGCATATATTATTGTGTACAATCCCTGAATTGTGATAATTTACTTGCAAGATTGGGACAACTTATATGATGGTACTGATGATGTATCTGACCCAGGCAGCTGAGAGATCTAGATACCTGAGTATCTAGAAAAGATCGAAGGTAAGATGATGGCAGTGCAGTTTAATCTTCCTCCAAATTGAATTTATTTAGTTTTAAAAAATGTCATGGGGTTGGAGAGATAGAACAGGGGTTAAGGTTCTTGTCTTGCACATTACTGACCCAGGTTTGATCCCTGGCACTCTATGGTCTCCTGAGTCCCCCAGGAGTGGTTACTGAGCACAGAGCCAGGAATAACCACTAGGTATTCCCCCCAAACAACAACAACAACAAGAGTTCTTATATCTAAGAGTCAAAAGCAAAATTCAAACATATTTTAACATCCATGTTCATGCCATTATTATTCACATTAGTCAAATGGTGAAACAGTTCAAAGGTCTATTGGTAGATGAATGCATAAACAAAATGTAATATATTCATAGAATAGAATATTATTAATCATTGTGAAGAAAGGAAATTCTGAGACATATGTAGAATGAATAAATCTTGAAGATTTTATTCTAAGTAAAATTAGGCAGTTTCAAAACACAATAATCATATGAGTCCTCTTATATGAACTATTTAGATTAATTCATTTTTTAGAAACAATAAAATGTTGATTATTAAATGGAAGGGGAAAAGAGGAATAGGAAATTATTGTTTGGGAACAATTGGCTGTGGATACTAGTGTCCAGGAGAATGTTAAAAGTATTGGAGATAAATGGTGGTGTTAATGCCATTGAGCTCTACACTTAAAATGGTTATTAAAATGATAAATTTTATGCTATATTCTGCTGCCATAATAAAAAATAATGACAGTTAGTCCTGATGGGGACATGATGTATAGTTAGACTTGCTAGAGACACGGTTTCCATCTTTAATTCTGTTTTAATTGAATACAATTATAGTCTTCTCCAAATATCTGTTGTTTCTTCTCAGTGAAGTCTTGTTCCTTGCAATTTATTGGTGATCACAAGGCCCTGCTCACAGTGAGCAGAGAGCAAATATTTGTTGAATGAATAAACAAACAAGGACTCCTTCTGCTAAGGTCCAATACTTTCTGCTAGAACTGTGGAATTATTTCAGTATTTCTATCTTTATGCATCCTTACTTCTTCCTTCTCTTATAGTTCTGACATCCTTTTGATTTACTTTTTGGTGGTTTACAGAGGATGGTTTTTGGACTAGTGGCATCAACATTACCTGAGAATTTCTTAGAGATGCAAAATCTCAGGCCCTGCACAGACCTATTGAATCAGAAATGTTGAGGGTGGAGCCCCAGCTATCTTTTATTAAGCCCTCAGGATGAGAAACAGTCTTGTAATGAGACTCAGCCCACCCAACATTGAGGCCTTCACCATCAGGTCCACTTGTCTGCCCTTATCCATTCCCTTTCTATTTACCAAATGCATAGGTGGTGCTTATGAGACAGACGATGTTGTAAATGGTTTGCATGTTTTAATGGATTTGATTTTCACAACATGGGCCATTTTTCTATTTTTCACACATAAGGAAATTATAGCACAGGACAATTAAGTAACATTCTTAAAAACTACTAAGCTTTCAAAGAAATCTTTGATTGAGGTAGTGTTGGTTTACAAGAGTGTAAGCATTTATATGTTTTAGGAGTATTCACTTTAAATAAGGAAATCCAGGTGGCCTGGTTGAGTACCCCTGGATGAGTCATGGTGAACACTACCTTTCACTATTTGCATGGTAAGTGAAAAAAATAAAGGTTTTTTTTTTTTATAATCTCAGTGCCTGAGACATTATGTAGATTATTCTAGTTGATTCTCGTAGCAAAATAACCATAAAGGTATGGTTCCATCGCCACTCCAGGGCCAATTGAAACACAGTGATAAGTTGAGAAAGAGCTTTTTTGGCAGCATGTTAGGAAGTTGGAAGATGGCAAACTCACCCTCAGAGTAACCATCTTACCTACATAGTCTCAAAATGTGTATTTTTTATATAAAGAAAGAGGACAAGGAAGCACACTTTTTAGAAAGTGTGGGTTGTTAACCATTGGGCATCAAAATGTTCAATAAAGTTTTTGGTAGGCTGGTCTCCTGAGGTACATTCATCTTATCTGCAAATCTGCAAACCCAATTAAAGGTTGCAAGTAAGAGTTAAGTTTTGTGAAGAACAAGATAAGAAAAATTGTCCCTGCCCAGAAGAACTTTCTGAATTTTTTAATTGTGAATTCAGTTTCAAATTTATTTTGGTTAAGCTCAACAACCCTAAAAGGTGATTATGGTTGTTCCCATTTCCCAGATGATATAGCTAAGTCTCCAAGGGACCAAGGGACCAAGCAAATTGCCCAAAACAGTTTTCTGTGTGGATAAGGAGGCTTGAGGAGGTGGGGACATTGTGGTAGTGATTTTCTCAGATGCCCAACTTGGCTCTGCCCTTGTGTGTTCAGTGCATACTGTGTGTGAGCTCCTGTCCCCTCAGAGGTTAGGGGAAATGAGTCGAGTTGGAGCACCTCCCTTGTGTCACCTCTCCAGCTTCAGCTACATGCCTCTATCCCTCCCCCTTCCCACTCCAGTATAACAAAGTCTTTTCTCTCTGCATCAAGTCATCTTTGAAGTATTCTTGGGTGTCTTCTGCTTGCCAAGCATGGAGCTCAGCCTTGGGGGTGCACTGATGAGAAATACAGAACAGCCCTGCCAGCCTGTGGCTTCTGGAGTCCTTCTGTTTGTCATCGTTCCTTAAATCAGCTCTGCTGCCAACAGGCAGGGCAGAAAGCCCGAAAGTCACACATTCGTTGGATCAGGAGCAGATGCTCAGACATTGCAATTGCCACAGCCACATACAAAAGACAGATACATGGTGAATGACAAATATTTAGATATATTTCTTTGTTGACACCCTCACTGCAAATAGGACAGCTTTGAGGTCTTCACAACAGCCACAAAATTTTCACACTATGATTAAAGAGGATTCTCCGTGACTTAAAATAGGTCAGGGGACAGGGGTGGGGGTGAGGGCAATTCAGCTTCTAAAGGCAATTCGGCTTCTAAAACCTTACATGGAGAATCCAAACTCAGCGGGTACAAACACAGTGAGAACAAACTTTAAAGCCATTTTAGGGGGTGCTTGAAGTGAGGGAGAAGAGAAGAGTCAGGACCAAGGAGAAGGGGCTGGGGTGGGGGGAAATGGAATCTTTTCTGCTTCAGCAGCGGAACCAGGTTTGGCACAGACTCAGGTCTTTCTGAAGACACTGGACTCTCTTTGATGAGTGAACTGTATGTACTCGTGGGAACTGAAAGTGGCAAAGAATGCAGGACTGCATGTACTGTCTGTCCCAAGAAAATGGCCAGTCCTTTACAATCACTGGAAAGCGAATTGCTCTTGG